ATGCTCTGAAGAATGCAGTAAAAAATGAAAAATAATGTAAAGAACTTGTGAAATGTACATCTTACCATTTACTCCATTTTACACCCTTGTTTATGTAGAGCTGGCATGAGTAGTATAAAAACCAGTGATGAGAAGTGCTAAAATATGAAGTTCTACACAATCAAGCCACCAGCTTCAACACTGGGTTGCCTTTTCAGGTGAGCTGACAAGTTCAAGTCAAATGACGGAGCATAATCATAGCATACACTGAATTGTTGTGGATTTCAGTAGTCTTCTCATGAACCTGAGGATTTAGGAATTGGGTAAAATCAAGCTTCATTTAGCTGTTAGTCTATTAGCGCCTATTAGCGCTGTTAGCACCGTTTCTATTACCTGGTTTTGTTATTACAGTACTATGATGCGGATTCGAAAATGACTACTTTAACTGAGGGAGCTCTGAGTTCTGAGAATTACAGAAGGAATTACTACTTAGCAGACATGAGGGACTGACTGAAATCCATCTGGATTAAAATCACAGATCTAACTGGTAAACACTCAAATTACAGCACCTCCCCAGGTAAAACTAATCCAGCTCTAATAGGGCTGTTACCTAATGAAACAGCTGTTACCTAATGAAAGGTCATTTTTAAAATTAAAGGTGCAATGATACCAGAATCATACCAGTATCGGCAGATAACTGCTTAAAGAAAACATAAGCACCAGGCAGATTACAATTTCACAGATATTTCTCACAACTTAGAACTGATTGTGTATTTATCGTACTCTGTTTGTGTTTTGGTATCGTCATCGGCAGATATGTTCGCGAAAATACAGACTATATTAGCTTATAGACTATATAAATATAGAACATATCAGTATTGGGCTGCAATTCCCACACCCCCACCTAAAACAACCCTTAACCAGCCCTTACTTACTGAAACACTGACTTACACTAACAAACTATTCCTCAACCAATCATCATTTGATCACGAGTGCTACTGAAACATTAGAAGTGAAAGTTACACACCAGAAGGAGCTAGTATACCTCACTCTATCAGCATCTAAATGTACACTACATGGCCCAAAGTACATGGACACCTCTCTTAATAATTGAGTTCAGGCATTTCAGCCACACCCATTGTTAACAGGTGTATAAAATCAAGTTCCATAGACAAACACTGACAGTTGAATGTGTTGTACCGAAGAGCTCAGTGACTTTATATGTGTCTCTGTTATAGGATCTTAGCTTTGTCACAAGGCAGTTTGTGAAATTTCTGCCCTGGTAGATCTGCCTCGGTCAACTGGCAGTGCTATGTTGAAGCACCAACAGCTCAGCCATAAAGGGGTAGAACACACAAACCTACAGAGAAGGACTGCCGAGTGTTGAAGCATGCAGTGTGTAAAAATCACCTATCCCCTGTTTCTTCCCTCTCTACAGAGTTACAAACCTCTGGAAGAAACATCAGCATCACAACTGCGCATTAAAAGTTTCATGAAATGGGTTTTCATGACCAGACATTTTCATGTGCAGTTGCACATAAGCCTAAGATCATTATGTGTAATGCCAAGTGTCGACTGGAGTGGTGTAAAGCATGAATCATGCTTCACTATCTGGCAGTCTGATTCATGAATCTGGGTTTGGTGGATGCCAGGAAAATGCTGCCTACCAGAATGCATAGTGCCAGCAGTAAGGTTTGGTGGAGGAGGGATAATGGACAAAGACATCTTAGACAATTATATGCTTCCAACTTTGTGGCAAGAGGGTGGGGAAGTAGCAACTGTTCCAGCATGACTGTGCACCTGTGTACAAGGCGAGGTCCTTTAAGACATGGTTTGATGAGTTGATTGCAAGCCAGGCCTTCTTGTCCAACATCAGTGCCTGACGTCACAAATGCTCTTTTGACTGATTGGGCACATTCTTGGTCCAATTTTCGGGTGCAAATTCCCAAAGACACACTTTGAAATCCTGTGAAAGGCTGCAAGGGTGTGGGTGAGGGGGGGAATTCCATATTAATGCCCAAGGATTTGTAATGAGATGTCCGATAAGCTCAAATAGGCATTATAGTCAGGTGTACACACTTTTGGCCATACAGTGTATGTCCAAATGCGACACAGTTGCATTCCAAACTGCATTAGACATGAACAGACACTCAAACTGGGCAGCTAGAAATATGCTAAATTATGCCATTTCAGTGGTGTAAAACCTTTTCCAGACTTTGCTAATATTTCCAGGCTTTTTATCAATGTTCTTATTTTCCAGATGTTTTCCACGACCAGAGAACTAGTTTCTACATTTCCAGGTTTTCCAGTTTGCAATGGAACTATGCATTTTCCATCATAATTGATGTTTAGGTTGTTCATGTAAATAAATAGTAATCTTTCTCAAACACTTCTAAACATTTTTAGCAAAAAACAAAATGTGCCCAGCTCTTCCCCCAGTATGCTTCACACTATATTGCCTGCACAACCCAATCGATGAACCCAGAGGCTCATGTGAGGCTTCTTTAATTCTGCAGGCCGCCTGTGCAAGCAGCAGAACATTGATTGATTAATTGATTATTAATGCATTATTAATACTACTCCAAATGCAGGACACTGTAAAAAAAAAAACTGACACTCTCACGTACACACACCCACACACACACATACACACACTCGTTTGATGAAGCAGCTTGGTGCCAAGGGCCAAACGTGTTCAATGGAACAGCGACTACGGCACATCAATTTAGGACAGCATGCTCCAGCAAATTAAACCCAGGGCAAAAAACAGCCACCAAACACACCTGGACAAGCAAACACAATAACGCTGCCAGCTCCGCATTCACTTTGCCCATTAACCCTCACAAGTCTAGAGTCATTCCTGTCACTTTGCTATACATTTGATTTACATACTATGTGTATTTTAATGTAATTACATGATTGAGATGTAAATACATAATTATTACAATGTAATTACAAAAATAATTACATGGTTAGTTATACAGTTAAATATATTCACGTTTAACACGTTTGAATCTGCACTTCTGATTTTTCCATTTGTGTCTGTGTTTGTAAGTAGAAGAGTACAATAAGAATTTCATGAGAAGTTATCGTCTTCAATGTCTTGTTTGGCAGAAACCATCCTTTACATGGATTAAACCTTTTTTTGTGCATTCCCCCCCCCACACACACTCAAATTCTCATTTTTTCCTCTCTGATACACTAATCTGTACTCTCTCTCTCTCTCTCTCTCTCTCTCTCTCTCTCTCTCTCTCTCTCTCCCTCTCTCTCTCTCTCTCTCTCTCCTTGGCCCAGGCTCTCTCTCCATGTAGGGCCACAGCAGATGGTGTGTTAGTGTCCGTGTGGTAGGCCACTGGCTGGGTGACCTCCTCCGACCCCCCACCTCCCCAGGCCTAACTAACCCCCCCATCCGCCTAAAGCCACCAGCTCTCCTGCTGCCACGCTCACACCAGCTGCCACACACACACGTGCACAGTGCGCGTCCGCGTAAACACTGCCTCGATGGCCCGTAGCGCATTTAGGGAAGACAAACGCATATGGTGCCATTTGGCTTCGGTACACGGTCGGGTTCCCTCTACCATGTCCCGCAAACGAGGGGAGACTAACCAACAGTCAGTTCCATTTCTTTCTCTGCCCTCTTCAACTCTGTGTCTGCGTCATACATACAGTATGCAGCCCAAGAGTTCACTTGCTGAAGGAAGTGCAGCACATGGCAAGTTTAAAAGTGGAACAGACTAGACCCTAAAACACTCACACACATGGAATTGAGCCAGTTGGCCTAGTACTAGGCAGCTACTGGTATTATTTAACTAACTTATGCTACCTGGTGCTAGGGAGCTAACTCGACAAAAGCCAAGCTATGCTTAGCTAACTAGTGGACCTTACCTCGATGAGGTAAGCAAAACAAAATTAGCTTATCTCATGTTAGCTTACCTTATCTTGTTAACATAAACTATCTAAAAAACTAATCTTTAATGCTTTTAAGTGTTTACTTCGTAAGTGTTTACTCAATGGTCCAAGCAAAATTAAGCTACATAGACTCATTAAAATCACAGACATTTTCACTGTTTTTCGGTTTGTTTGGCACGTTTTGATATGTTTATTTCACTTCATTGATGTCATCTCAATCTGACCAATCCTGCAGCAGACTGCAGAAAAAAGAACAACGCTTCTAGTTCCCCCAATAGATCTTCACTCTTTGATGTGTTCATATTCACTTATTTTCTTGTAAATCTTCCATCATGACATAATTTTTGTCCGACTCTAAAATGTTTCCTGATTGCAATTATGGCACTGTGTACAAGCAAGAGGAGAAAAATAACCAATAACATCATGTTGTACTCCTACCTTCCACCATCCCATCATCAAGTGAAAAATCAGCGTATTCAGACACCCTCCCTGGTACTTCTTTTTCTGTTTCACTCAGAAATACAGTATGGAAGTAAAACGTAAATGATTTCCAATTCACATAGGCTTTAAGTTCAATCCCCGGTGATGCTACAGCCATCCGTGGCCAGGAGTACAAGACAGCCCAACTGGCCTCCCTCTCTCTGGGTGGGTAGGATGACCCTCCCTCTCCCCCCATCACTCAGCACAATGCTAGCCAGTGTAGGCGTCTGTTAGCTGAGGTAACAGAACTGGTGGTTAGCGTTCTCCTTCAAGCACAAACAGCTGTCCAATGACGCTGCATGGTGGTATCATGTGAATTGGGGAGTCCTAACTAATGGTTGGAATTGGATATTACTAAATTGGGTAGAAACATGGAACCCACAACCTAAGCTACATTTAGCTAACTAGCATTTGTTCTGCTACCAGAGTAGGGTAAGCTAACCTCAGTTAATATTAGCTAGCATTCATTTTTAAGACATTGTGGTTGCTGGAGAATCATAATGCCCTTCAAGATAGCTGTGGCAGTTCCCCAGAGGGCAAATGCAGAGGGGAAATCTGAGATTGCCTCTCTTTTCAGGAATCGGACAGCTGGCCAGCCCTGTATATATACAGAAGCAGGATGCAGTTCCTACCTTGTGCAGAGGGGGTGATGTTGCTGAGGGTGATCACACAGGTACAGAGCAGCCAGAGAGACAGAGCCATGGTGGGGTACAGCAGAGGAGAGAAGAGCCTGGCGCTTCAGAGGGACACACTGCTCCCCTTACACACCCTCTGAACCTGAGAGAGAGACAGAGAGAGGCAGAGAGAGAGGGAGAAGAAAAAGGTTAGGTGGTCATTAGCCAGGTTTCCATCCAGCTGTCGTATTAAATTCTAGCAAGAAAACTGAAATGTTGCAAAAAATGATGTAACGTAGGTATCCATTAGCTCTGTTCAAAAGAATAAAAGATCGCAAAAACACTTCAAAGAACCGTGGAGCGAGTCTACAGAGGAATCTTTAATGTTGAACAGCTTTTCATTGCTGTTTTATTTAATATGATGATTATATTATACACTGTATGAGCACAGAGACAGAACACAATGGCAGACAAATGTCCATTAAACGGTGGCAAACTTCTTATGTCTGTTAACTGTCAAATATCACAGTGTTTTTGTTCTTTAGTAAAACAAAGGCACATTTATTCTCTTGGTTATGTGTTTCCATTGTAATTAATCACTTTTTTTTGTATCGGCAGAAAAATACACAGACCTAAGGAGAGCATATAAGCTTTCATGTGACCTTTGGTGATTATATTGCACATTTGTTGTTTCCAGGCCTGAAAATATCCTCACGTTGCGCGTGACGTCACACTGTATAGTCGCCGACGTTTTAAGGACTGAATCAGGGAGTGGCTGCATTAGAGCAATGCCTTCAATTTGCTGTGCTTCGTGAATGATTCACCTGCAAGGCACGACAGAAGCCGAGAATGACGAGAGACCACATGGACCCTTAATTCAGTGTTTTCAAACTCCAGGCTTGGAGCCCCTGCACTGTATGGTTCAGTGTTTTTCTCTGCTGTTCACACCTCGTTCAGCTCAAGAAGGGATTAATTAGCTAATAATATAAGGTATTTTAACCAGGGGAACTATAATTATGCAGTGCTGGGGTTGCAGGACTGGAGCTGGGAAACTCTGCACTAACTACACTAGCAAACTTACAAAATCACGTCTGTCAAAACATGACGTAGTTTTCCGACCCACAACATTCAGCCTTATATTTAACGTTTATGTTTCTCAATTCAAATCTCGTTTAAATCTCCAGAAACAGAGAGTAAAGTTATACCGGCCGTTTGCAGCTCCGTTAGGGGGAGAACTGTTTATCTCTCGGCTATTAACGTTAGCAAAAGTTATCTAAAGGCTAGCACTGTTCACATCTGTGTTCGGTCCCAAATATGGCGGCCACAACAGAAAAATCACATGACTGAAACCCTGGGACAGTAAGAGAAACCGAAAATACCTGGGGTAAAGTTAGTAGGTACATTGACTATATAGTACCAGTAATAGGTGTAATAGCTTTTAGTGATTGCGGGTAGTGGGCAACACCACTGCTTTCCATGTGGCAGATAGGGTTCAATTCCCTGCCTGGGCAAGCACATCATGCCATACCAAATACGAGTCCCTGGGCAAGACTCCTAACTGTACATTCACCTACCTCTGTAACATGATCAAATAGTTCTGAATAAGGCAGTCTGCCAGATTTCACCTATGTTAGCTACAATAAATGTGAAATTAATGTAGGACATCACATCATCCAACGTTTAACCTTCTATTATGTGATGTTGCCTCAGGGTAACAAATCCATTTCCTTAATTTACAATGATATAATACATATTTAATGATGTTGAAAGAGTTAATGATGAAGGGAAGAGTTTGAATAAACCAATAAAAAGCATACATTTGATCACACTGTCTCCTGGTGGGTATTTTTAAACCTCTTTTTGACATGGTGGTGCAGGCAATTCGAATTAATTAAAAAAATTACTACATTCTTTTTATGTGTTAGAATGTTTTTTGTTTTTTTTTTACTTTTATTTGTGTTTAAAATGATTATTTGGAGTGCAAGAAATCAAAATATTACCTCACATGGTTTAACAAATAACATAAAATAGAATTTCATTTTTTTAAGAATAAGATTTAAAGATCAACAAACTGTTTCTTACATGACACAATGTTGCCTCAAGGCAATGTACCCCAAAAGCAATTCGACATACATTATTACATTACATGTATTAAATCATTAATTGACTAATATATGCTAAACTGATTAATATGTTTTGGCAATAATGTAATTTAATAATAATAATCTTTATTTATATTTAAGATAGTAATTCTAATAGAGCGCTTATTTGAGTTGAGTTAATTGAAAGAGAGAGAGAGAGAGAGAGAGAGAGAGAGAAAGAGAGAGAGAGAGAGAGAGAGAGAAAGAGAGAGAGAGAGAGAGAGAGAAAGAGAGAGAGAGGTCAATACTAATAGCAGGACTTCAATTCTTACAGCTGCCGTTTTTGTGCACTTGTTCAATAACATGTAGTCCTGCGACTCTACTCGTTTTTTTTTTTTTCCAAGAAAGGCTCTCACTCACTGTCCGGCTGAGATTCGACCAGCTGAACAGTCCATTTCACACCACACTTGTTCCGAATAATAGACAGCAGAGAGAGAGAGGTCAGGTAGGACGAGTGAAAGGCGGCCATTTTGTCGCTTGCTGCCGCAGCAACAGCTGCTTGCTGGGATCGGAACAGTCAGAGATCCAGATGTTTAAGTGTGAAAGCGTAAACCTCTGATCTCACAACACTTCATTACCTTTATAGTGCTTTAGGAAACAATGCAGTGCAACATGAAGTCTCTGATTTCAGACGGTTCGATCAGATTATTCTGGTGTGATTCAGACTTTATTTTAGACAATTTATTTAAGGAGGGGGTTTTTGATTTGAGCCTGTGAATTAGTTAATCCAACCAAAAAAACTAGTGAAATATTAGGAGACTGAATACTGTTATACTTAATTATAGTCTACAGACTTGTTGCAGTTGAATCACCACTTTCTGAAGCAATTTTACTCCCAAATTAGGAGCCTAAAGCTGCACACACTCTCTCACACAAACACACACACATACATACATACACACACACACACACACACACACGAATATGAACACAAACACAGTGTGACTTTTGTTTACTTGTTTGTGTGCTTCTGGATGATAAGAGATAGAGAGAGAGAGACAGAGATAGAAAGAGATACATGGGGGAGTGAGAAAGAGTGAGAGAGAAGGAGAAAGAGAGGGAAATAAAGAGGAAGAGGGACAGAATAGGGAAAAGAAAGAAAGAGACAGAGAAAAAGAGTGAGAGGGAGGGAGAGATAGAGGGAGAAAGAAAGAGGAAGAGAGACAGAACAGGGAAAAGGAAGAGAGAGACAGACAAAAAGAGTGAGAGAGGGAGATATTGAGAGAGAAAGAGGAAGAGAGACAGAATAGGGAAAAGAAAGAAAGAAAGAACGAAAGAATGGAGAAGAGATAGAACTAGAAAAAGACAGAAAGAGATAGAGAAAGATAGCAAGAGAATGATGGATAGGACAGAGATGAAGAGAGAGTGAGAGAGAGAGGTAAAGAAAGAAAGAGAGATGAAGAGAGAGAGAGAATGGAAAGAATATAGGGGATCAAGCGTGAGAGTAAAGCGAGAGTGAGAATGGAAAAAAGAAAGACAGATAAAGAGCAAGAGAGAGTGAAAAGGAGAGAGAGAGAGTGAAGAGAGACAGTGGACATTGGTGACTCAGTCATTTGTGCCTGAGGGTCTGCACACATCTCATTTGCCTAATGAAATAAATCACAATCTGGAACTCTCTTGCTCTCTCTCTCTCTCTCTCTTTCTATCTCTTTCTCTCTCTCTCTTGCTCTCTCTCTCTCTCTCTCTCTCTCTCTCTCTCTCTCTCTCTCTTGCTCTCTCTCTCGCTCTCATTTGTTCTTGGAGCCTGTTCTTCCTCCAGGGCTGTAGCGCAGTAGAGATGCAGTGCATTATTTGAGCTAATGCAGCTCCTGCTGAGCCCTCTGATAGAACTGACAGATTGTACTGCGTGTTGATAGCAGAGAGAGCCAGAGTGAGAGTGTGTGAGTGTGTGTATGTGGGTGTGTGTGTGTGTGTGTGTGTGTGTGTCTTTGAGGGGATTTACTTTGATCCTCCTAACCCTCCACCCTCTTTTCTCATTGATCTCTGCAAGTCATAGATGTGAAAAATAGATTGCGCATAAAAAACAGGGCCGTCGACACACACCCACAAACAGACACAGAAAAATGGGTAAAATCACATTATCACACATTTAACACACATATACAGTACTGCGCAAAATCAGAGACCATCCTGTCGTTTATTTCATTTCTAGTCAAATTAGCCGTTGAGTAGAAGTTACTTTTCAGGAGGTCCTTCTAACGGGCTTCCAAAACTGTTAAAAAAATTATTAAAAGACATAACAATCTCCTAACAACCATGCAAGACCTGGTGGACCACCAAAACTGTCCCTGTCAGATGAACAGCATTTCATCTTCGAGAGAGAGGAGTAAATCAAGCTTCTTCAGATCTGAAAAATCCACAGGTGATTCTGTCCATCCTTCCACTGTGAGAAGACAACTCAGCGCTATCGGCCTGAAAGGATGTGTAGCTGTCAAAAAGCCCTTACTGAGAAAAGGAAACTGACAAAACAGACAAAAAGAAAATCTGCTAGTCAATCAAAGAAGCTGCTGGTGTTCTCAGAACTCTGACTTTTGCATAGTAGTGTACGTCAACAGAAATGCAGTGGTGCTTGAAAGTTTATGAACCCTTTAGAATTTCCTAAATGTTCTATTTTCTTGATTTCTGAGGACCTCAGAAGAAGAGCTGTTGATGCTCATTAGGCTGGAAAAGGTTACAAAACCATCTCTAAAGGCTTTGGACTCCACTAATCCACAGCCAGACAGACTGTGTATAAATGGAAATTCAAGAACATTGTTACGCTCCCCAGGAGTGCTCGACCAACAAAGATCACACAAATAGCAAGGCGTGTAATAGTTTACGAGGTCACAAAGAAACCCGGGGTAACTTCTAAGCAACTAAAGGCCTGTCTCACATTGGCTAATGTTAATGATCATGAGTCCACCATCAGGAGAATGCTGAACAACAATTATGTGCATGGCACAGCTGCAGGGAGAAAGCCACTGCTCTCCAAAAAGAACATTTCTGCCTATCTGTAGTTTGCTAAAGATCACATAGACAAGCC